CCTGCTCCCGCGAGACCCGATGCAACAGAGTGCGGCGCGGGACAAGATGGGCGAGTGCTGGTGCGGGCGGGTAGACACTCTTGTGTGTGCGGGATGCGGGAGAATAAAATAATTCACGGGAGTCCCGCAAAATAGAAATATCTAAACAAAAATATCTAAAACAAATAAATTGTTATTCATCTATTGCACAAAAGCAACATGAACTAATATAAAATATAAACGATTAACAGCTGCAAGTATATGCAGACTTTCTATTTAGGCTATAACACGTGTTTGCAGCATTGAGCACTGCAGTGCTGAAATTTGCGTGCTCACGAATCCTCTAATTATAACACACGGATTGTAGACATTATGAAAGATTCATAATGCATATATTTATTGTGTTATAACATAGATTTGTGAGATTGCGATGAACTGAGATGTATTTTAGAGATTATAAATGCAGCGCTCTTTGCAGGCATTCTGCCATGCCAAACCATGCACGCAGCAGCCGCTTGCTTTAGTTAAAAATAACAGTGTTCTGTGAATGTTGATGCTTTAATATGGAAACAGCTGTGCTGCTTATTATTTTGTTGAAACCTGTGATATATTTCTATTTTTTTTAGAATTATTTGATGAATACAAAGTTAAAAACAACATTTATTTAATATAGATATGCTCTGACTAGATGAGACTTTTTTTTTTTTTTTTAAGGAAAATAATACTTTTATTTAGCAAGGATATGTTAAATTGTAAAATAAAAAAAAGTGATAGTAAAGACTCACTGTATATTGTTAGTAAATACTTTTTATTCAACGTTTTATTCATCAAAGAATCCTGAAAAAAGTATCACAGATTACAATATATATATATATATATACAGTGTTGGGAAGGTTACTTTGGAAACACGACCGCTGAGGAAGTTTAAACAAAGTATGTTGCAGACCGTTCATGAAGACCCTAAGGAATCATACCAACTTGTGGAAGATCAATGTCCCCTTTGAAGCACAGCCACCACAAAATCAGACTTACTTTGAGATCATTCTGAGGTTAAATACATATTTAAAATCATAACAAGAAATATTTTATTAGCTATGATACCGTTTTTGAAATCAAATCTTTACATAGCTATGACAGTAAACACTGCTGTAACTGATTACAATTACTTTTATTTTGTAATTAAATTACGTAATTCCGTTACATGCAACTAGTTACTCCCCAACCCTGTATATATATATATATATATATATATTAAACAGCACTGTTTCTAACATTGATAATAATCAGCATAGTATAATGGTTTCTGTAGAATCATGTGACACTGAAGACTGATGCATTTGCTGATGAAAATTCAGCTTTGCATCACAGAGGTACATTGTATTTTTAAGTATATTAAAATAGAAAACAACATGTTTACTGCTGCTACCAGAAAGAGAAAGCAGTTTGTCAACCTCGATCCTAAGGCAACCAGACATGGACCATTACATATTCAATTTCATATTTTATTACATATACATTTGCATTCCACATCTAGAAGACATGTAAAAATAAATTCCCAGTCCCACAAAAAAAAAAAGTAGTTAGAGTCAACTAATTACAGGGATCAACAACAATCTAAGCACCCTACTCAAGGGTACCATATACCTGTAGACCAATAACATGACCTTTAAAAATATCTAATGTATCTTTAAGTTCTCTCTCTCCTAAACAAATCTATTGAATGATTTATATGCTTGACTAGCTCTCTCCACCTTTTTTCATCAGTCAAACAATAAAAAGGGATAGGTGAAGGAGGTGTAAATTGGCATAATCTACGGTGGCCGAGAAGTGCAAAGCAAATCACAATTCTGAAAACAAAATAACAAATTACAAACGCAAATGCAAGTCTAAAAAACTAAATAACAATTCAGAAAGCACAACAACAATTCAGAAAACATTATAACAAGTCAGAAAACACAATACATGTTTTTGCTTTCTGCGCTTATATACCAAGATGTTTGGATTGAACTATCTATCATGCTGGCGATTTATTTTGCTTTGACATCCATTTTATTTTCTACAGCTATGTGACTTCAACCCCCAGGATGGCCTATGTAGTTTATTTATGAAGTTATATCAGAATATTTTACAGCAAAACTGCAGCTCTGTGGTCACAATGGGATTTATTCCAGTTCCATAAAGAGTATATAGCATACTCCACACTGTCAGATGGCCTATCTATCCACACACAATGTGCCTTTACTATAATAGTACATGACATGTTGGCAGTGGGTATGCGTTTGAAAGCTCAAAGCTTGTTTTCATTACAATTATTATATATTTTTTTCTGTTCTTTTGTATGGGTGTGTGGATGCAGTGTAATGTGCCATAATCTTTGTTCCTCACTGGAGAGAGTCTCTTCACTTGTCACAAACACAAAACACCCTCATTTCCAAGAAATGTTTATTTGAAACAGGGAGGATGTCATTCCAGATGATGAGACTAATTATATGAGAGAGCACCAGTAATATCCTGTTTCTGTGTATGAATTCTTATCTTTCTACCTCTCCGTCGGCTCTTTCATGTAATAATGCTCAGTCGCACAATTTTCTTTCTTTTTCTTTATTTCTTTCTTTTTCTTTATTTATTTCTTTCTTTCTTTCTAGGACAAGTACCCTTATGTCAAGTTCCCTTACTTTTCTCTCTCTCTCTCTCTCTCTCTTTAACCTTTTTAACTGCAAACACTCAAGCTGGGTTTGCTGCACACAGGGATAAAAAGTACCCCATGTGTACATATACTGCTGTATCATTAATGTTGTGGTCCTATTTTTCTGCCGGAAATCCTGGACATCTTGTTCAGATAGATGAAATCATGTATTCTATCAAATACCAATAGATAAAAAATATAAAATCGACTGCCTCTGTTAGAAATCTTATAATGGGCCATGGTTGGATCGTCCATCAGAACAATGATCCAAAACAAACATCAAAGTCAACACAAAAAAAAATGGGCCACTGAGCACAAAACCAAGCCATGGCCACTACAGTTCCGTGACCTGAACACTATAGAAGATAAGTAGGGTGAACTGAAAAGAATGTCCATGATTTTGTGCGTTCATATATTGTATGCCAAAGAAGAAAGAAAATCGTGCAAAAACAATATGAGGGTGAGTAAACAATGACAAAAAAATTAATTCTATCCAAACATCAGTGTTAGAATGTTTGTTTGTGATCCTAGCTTATCAAATAATTCCAGTGAGGATGCCGATAAGAGCAAAACACGACAATTTGGAAAGCAATTTCCACACTAATCCATTTGAAAGGGTGTGAATACATGAACACTTCCACATCAACAAGTAGCTCATTCTTACCTATATTGTATTTTGTGCCATATGGTTCCTTCTCGCAGCCTTGATTTCAAACGCTCTCACACAGCAGGCTAACACCTAAGTATTCAAAAATAAAAAAATAAAATCACAATTAGTGTAAAAAAAATTATATATATATATATATATATTAATCCATTTGCATTTCTTTCTGCTCTGAGGCCCCAACAATTTCCATATGTTCAGCGTCGGATTAGCAGCACCCTTGCTCAAGTTTAGCTAGTGTTATTTTTATTTCCTTTTCACCAGTTTACCGCATCACATGTGAAGCGTATTCCCTATTCAGCTTCAAGTCAGTGCAGTCATGCAGGCGACATCAGATGGGTTGGGTATTGACAGCTCTTGAAATAGAACTGATGTGTGTGTATTTGCATAGTGTAATATGATACAATTCCCTTTTTGAGGGAATAAAGAAAAATAATAAAAAAATCAGACTTCAGACATTGTCAGGAATCGGACTATGATACTAATGCTAGCTCAATGACATGTGAAGTGATATAAAAGTGTTTACCTGCACTGAAATGTTTCATGAAGCATCAATATAAATCCTTAAAAAATGACTACAAAACAAAAACAAAACAAATTTTAAGGTAGGAGAATACCCACCATTAAATTAAACTGTACAAATTGCCGGCGAGATCTAAAAGCGCCAGCATCTAATGGAGGGATTTGACCTTTTTAAAGAGACTTTAGAGATAAATGAGGAAAGACGCTGTAATGCGCTCAGGGTGACAGACTCTGACATTTGCATTCAGAATAAACAAACACCTCTGTTTGGCTAAAAGAGGCTCTTGAGATGAGTACTCTGCTGCTGAGCCTCAAGAGAACAACTGTTGAAATATCACCAATTAACATTAAATTAAACTAAAAAAAATATATGAAAACATCCCAGGCCGTTCACACTTTAAGAAGACAGATTTTCCATAACAGAGTGTTCCATATCATTACACACCGTCTGTTTTGCATGCATCTTTGTGTTTTAAAGTCGCTGTGAAAAAATGCTAAGATGCATCTGCCTTTGATGGATGACTGGTCCCATTTTGTAGGGGGAATGAATGAATGAATTTAAATTGTGCATTTAGTGGGTCGTCTCTTATGTCTGCCTATCCATCCAATGCAATTGTTGTTGATTATATAATAATAATAATAATAATAATAATAATAATAATAATGTTTACTTTAAGGACACTGTAAAAAAAATCAATGTGTTATTTGTAATTCAATGCGTAATTCAATGTGTTACTTGCCGTTTATTTGTAATTAATTGTGAAATGTACTAGCAATTTCGGAGTGAAAAAAATGCTTCTACATTTTTTTTTCAGCTCATTGTGCTTTACAGAAAATAAACATAAAAGTGCATCTAAACAGAACAAACAAACCAAGTTATGTAACAACAACGATTATATACTATACATACTAGTGAAACAACCTAGTCTCAGCTTCAATTGTCACACACTTGGACCACTGGCTGAATGTCTGAGGCACATAGCACACAAAATAGGATAACACTTCAGGAGTTTCGAAGTCATCATTGGATTTCTGGGAGATGGGTCCACCTAGAAACAAAGCCGACATGACACCAAACCCCTTATTGGAATAAGAAAGCCATTGTGTTTACAGCTGTGACAGTAAGTGCTTATCAGGATCAACTAAGCACTGGGTTTTCAAAAGTATGTGAAGTTCACAGCACCATTAATGTCGTAATCTTGCACAACATTCTTGAATTAATTGCATGCCGGTCTCTTATTATAGGGACATCGACTTTACATTTTGATGCCCCCAAACTTGGAGATGAACAAAACAAACTGTGAATGGTCACTTTACATGTCAGGCAGCCCTTGGCCAATGATAGCCGCTATGTAGTCCAGACCTTCTGCTGTCACTCTGAAGGTCTGTCTACAGTACAGAAGACTAGAAACAACCTAACAATGGAGCCAACATCATAGTGCACAGTATTGGAATAGATCAACACGTAATCCCAAAGAGACTCCAAACAAAATGAGTGTGCAGAAATAGAACATAAAAGAAAAACAGCATTGAGAAAACAATGTTGAAAAAGATTTAAAGCGAGTAGTTTCTTAAAATAAATGACCAAAAAGGCACACATGAGCAAGAATATTGAGAATGATGCAGCTGAAAGAACAGTCTGTTCCACACGGTCTGTAGACAGCCTCAATTTGCCTGCATCAATACAGAGGCTTTATGAGGGTCAGTGCTTTCAGAGCAGGCTGCGCAGACAAATCCAAACACAAAATGGGAGTTGCTCAGCCACCTGACAAAAAACAAGCTCACTCTTATTATAGAAGTAACCTGGGTCTTCACGCCTCTGTTCAACAAGTTATACTGACTGAACTAAGAAACATAGTTACTTTCCTCAACTCTGAAGGCATATAAAGTTTCATAGCATGAATCTTATATGAAGTTATTGTGTGGCGCAGTGTGATCAGCGTTGCACTAATTAACTGTACTTTCTCTCACAACAAATTTACATGAACAGAATCAAATGCAAAATAAATTCCCTGTGAATAAATTCTTGTAGATGAAAACAAGGGTGTGAGGGATAGTTTTACAGTCTTTAAAGTGCCCCTATTATGCCTTTTCGAATATTACCTTTCATGCAGTGTGTCATGTAGCTGTATGCGTTCATAAACTATCTGCAAAGTTGTGAAGCCGACAGTGTACGATAAATAGTTACTCTCTATCAAAAAAAAAAGAGTCTGCTCGCAGTCACCTAAACGAGTCATCAGGAATTCTAATCTTATTCTGTTACGGGTCTACGCACGAAGTAACACATTTGCATAATGTCTGCCCACGTTCTACGTCGCCAACTTGCCCGCACACAAACAGTAACGTTTCCGTGTAGTTAACATCATGTAGAGAAGACGATTACATTTTTTTATCACATCTTATAATTACCACAAACTTGTTAAAGGTGCAGTAGGTGATTGTTTTCAGAAACATTTTTTGTTATGCTGGTTGAAAGTCGCATGCTGTGCAGACCTACAGTCTATGGTGCAGACAGAGCGAGAATGGCAGACAAACATCAACAACCCGATCTTCCTTCCTGGTATTGTAGTACTTTTAAAGTTTTCTCACGGGTAATTGACACATGATGTAGCCCAGCGGTTCCCAATTCCTGTCCTCGTGCACCCCAGCTCTGCATATTTTGCATGTCTCACTTAGTTAACACACCCGATTCAGGCCCTGTCCCAAATGGAACACTTCATGTGCACTTGCAGTCTTACGGACTTACAATGGCTGCCGCACGCGCGTGTCCGTTTAGTCCACGAGACCGTAGGGTGTCCCATTCGTCATTTTAGCGTTCAGAAGGGTGCTCGCGAGCGCCCCCTTTGCGGCCGTTAAGCGCCCTCGATCCACACTTCTGCTGAGCCCGCACTGGGCAGACTTCTACCCGACAGTCAAAGCGGCATTACGTCACGAAAGTGCGGACTTAGAGGAAGACCGCGAGGGTTTAGGGTGCCATTTGGGACAGGGTCTCAGATAACCAGCTCGTTAGAAGTGAGCTACATGCATGAACTGTGTTCCGAACGATATGATCCCTACACAGTGTTCGTTGCTCCCTATACT